CTCAAAAAAGAAAATGAATTAGATGAAATGGATGATATACATCTAGATAATTCTGATAATAGTAATGATAGCTATGCGCATGATTCTACTAAATTACAAGATATGGAGGATGATAAAGAATTTTTACTTGAACTTGTACATGCAATGAAAAACTACCCCAGTTTATGGGATATACATAATTTGGATTTTAACAATTATAAAATGCGTGAACAACATTGGAGAGAAATCGAGACAAAATTACAGGATTTCAAACGTAATATTAATACTTTTTAGTTGATAAAAAGCAGTAGTACCTGTATTTTTATTAAACAAAAACTAAAATATTATGTACTACTGAGTCAAAATTAATATATATATAATTTATTCAATACAAATAATTTTTAATTATATATTTTAGGTGATTTGAAAACAATTAAATTACGTTGGCGTTTGGCAAAGTTTAGTTACATGTGCATACGACTCGAGGATCACATCACAACAGAAGATAACACCTATTCGAAATGTTTAAAGAACTTGCCTGTAGACGAAATGTCATATTTATGTTTCTGAAAAAATGTAAAACTGAATTAATTTGAAAAATATCTATTACTAAGTAACTTTAAAGTTTAGGTTACTTTACATAAATCATGTATTTTTTGAAATAATTAATCTTAAGATTCGATTGATCGATTTAAGACATATAAACATAATAAGCTTAAATATATAGTATATATATTTAATAATATTTTAAAGTATATTAATATAATTATCAATAATACATAATAATCTCAATATTCTCGATTTAAGATTTAATGTAATATATATCATTATTATTATTATTATTGCAATATTTGTAAGTTTATTTAACATTATAAAATTCCTTTTAACGATTCTTAGAGATAAATAATATAGTATATTATTATCAATTTAAGTATTAATATATATTATTACACAGGTTATTAATAATATAAAATAAAATGCATATTATTATATATTTGCGATCATTTTATTTCTAAATGTCTATTTTTAAATCAATATTTTGTTTAATTTTATAATGTTTGTTGATATTGAATTTGAACCGAAAACCGGAACCTAACCAAAAAAAATATATCTGTTTATTTGGGATCAGTACCGTTTAGTTTGGTACCTCAATATATACGCACATTTTTTTTCTGTTTTTAAGCTTTAATATATTGAGTTTGACTAAAGAGTTAAAGAATATTTTTTATTTATAAACATAGAAGTTTATTTTTTTCGTTTTTTGAATAAATTCGTGAATTGTGCTTTTTCAAAAGAATTAATAAAACAATGACAAAAAAAACTTAGTTGTAATTGAAATATTTTAAAAGTAATTACTCGAAACTGAAACGACCACTGATATTTATCCGAAACCAAACCGAACTGATATATTTTTTTTAATTAAAACTGGATTAAACAAAATTCCGAAGCATTGGTTTTAGTTGAGACAAATTTATTTCGAGTTTAAATCACGAATAAACCAAAAAGATATTTTGTTACAAAAAAATAGTATATAAGCTTATAAATCTCAAATATGTATATCAAATGTCAATAATTGCTTAGAGTATTATAATAATAAGTATACGTATATAACAATGAAAATAATATAAAAGTGTATATATATAATCTGAAGAAACGCCCAACTAAATGTGTAACGAAATTTCTTACCAGTTAAAGAGGGTGATTAAATCAGTACTATATATTTGTTAAACGTTATGGCACGCATTTCTTTTTTGGTTTTGTTTTTTTTCACCATATTCCCATCAAAATTAACATTTACGTTTAAAATTATCATGGAAAGAAAAAGGCAAACTTTAAATTTCAATAACGAAAGTTTTATACAGTTTTGCCGCGGGAGGTTAAAAAAACATACGTATTGGTTGTAATTTGACCGGTTCCGAGTTCTAAGACTGGCACTTGTAGTCCCAGAATTATATCGGACTTATAGAACCAATTTACCACAGCGGGCCATTATTTGTGCTCCAGTGGGCTTTCTTGGTAAACAAGGCCGCCACTCCAACCTGTAGAACTAATGAATATTTTCTAAGTCGCTGAGTTTTTGGCAAAACTCGAAATATTCGTATGGTGAATCAAAAAATTCAATAATAAAATTTTGTTGCTGTAATTCACTGCTATTCTAAAACTCATCAATTTAAAAAATAATCAATCGGGTTAATTTTTTCGTATTGCGTGATATATATGATAAACATAATTAATTGCGTCAAATGGTTGTGTTTACAA